CTGTGCCGCAATCCGTATCACTTATAAGCCATATCCAACAAGTCACATACAAACCACACAGCCACAAAGACACATTCTTTGTTTGGAGTATGTGGCTGCGCTGAAAACGACCGCCATTTAAATACGCAGTGTTTTCTGCGCAAACTCATGGTACCTGTTGGCAATGGCCGCGAGTCCTCAGTCGTAGGGTCCACAAGTGCCTGTGGGCCTGCTTTCCTAAGCGACGTAGCTGCAATGGACGATTTGCGTTTGCATTATTGCATGATTGATTCAGCAACATTGATGGGACTCCCTGGCCGACCCGACCGATGGCTGCCGGGATGCCTAACGGAAACTGGGTGTCGTGTGCTGACTTCCAAGGGCGTGGGTGTGGCATGAGAAACAAACTTTGTCTGTAAGTTAGTTTTTCGTGCCGCATCATGGGCTGAATCGCCTGCAGCTTTCATGGAAATCAGTGGGTGATAGACCACCCCTCGCTCGCTCTCTATGCGCGTTTGGGTGCTGGGCAATGGCTGTTCCAAATAACTAAGGAACCTCATTTTATTTGTTTCAAGAAGCAATCGTTAACCCATTGGTGTGACATCAATCAGAACCTGAAATAAACGTTGCCACAGCACTTGCCAGTTTCGCGCCACCTGGACATGCGATGATGTTGAAGCTGATGAGACGGCGTAAAGCGGTAAAAAATAGTGGTACGGAAACATCATTTGATACATTCTTCTGTAGCGAGCCCGCGATCTGCTCACTAAAACAGAATCAGCGACTGTCCAGCTTTCAAATTTTGCTTCCCATGTTTCGACTGCGGTTGGAGGGTTGTTATGCGTTTCCAGTGCAAGAAAACCACACTTGCCACCACTGCAGGTGCTAGATCTGTTTAATTTCGCCACTGCAACCTGTCACTGTCGCTGCAATGTTTCTATGCTACATTGTACTACATTCTGTATTCAGAATCTAAAAACACATCCCGCGTAGCCACTGGGAGTGCTGCTTTGCCGTAACAGCGAGCTTCGCTGAAAAGTCACTGCGTTTACATGGCGTTTACATGATCCTGTTATGGCACCCGTTGCAGACTACTCTTCAGTCAATGTGTCAACTTTACCTGACATCGTGTAAGCCAAGAAGTTCGGATAATGCATTTCATGGTAACTATGTCTCGCTTTTCTCCCTGAAACAGATGAGTGAAGAACGGCTGCCGGACGCCGGCAAGATACGGTGCGTTCGCGTTTTGTCGTTTTACTTAAGCTGCTGGCCGCCGGTGGCTTGGTGATAAGCCTGTGGCGTTTTGACGGCGCAAAGATGGGATGGTAATCCTAAGCTGATGCATGGACGTGGAAGTGCACAAAATGAAGAAAAAATGGGTGCTGAATATAGGCAGTGAATCAATGCATCCTATGGTGTTAATTTCGCTATGATCTTGGCCATAGCTTCGAGAACAGCGTGTTGTATTCGACGCCGTTTTTAGAAATGCCTACACGTGAATTGACGACGATGTGTCGACCAACGCTTGGAAATTGGATTCACGCCTCTACATGCTCTGGCTGCCGAGCTAGCATGTAGAAGCCGCCAGGAAAATTGGAAAATAATAAAATACGGGCAAAAACGGGAAAACCAATCCTCGCCGCGTCTGTGCACGTAAAATATGGCACGTGCCACTGCAAATATGGTGCCACACGATTCCCCATTCAATTATCTACTCAAATATGCCAAGTTCCTGTCGCTCCGATCCCTGGTCGCCGAGATGTGGCCACGGTTTCGAACGGCTGCTTATCGACTTTGTCACCGGTCACATTTTAGGGCCACGTTTGCAGAACCAAAGGGATTAAGCATGTCCTTCCACCAAGTGCCACGTCCAAACTCCGGGCCGCGGCTGCTCGCGATCTACCCGCGAAAAATCGCCTTGTGCGCCTGCGCGTCGTGTCAAAATGTCACTGTTCAGCGACCCGCCGTTTGGCCGGTGAACGACGCGATGCTAAACGGGGCAGACGGGCAGACGCACACTGAGCTAAGAGTGCAAAGCGTCCGTTTCCCGCCCGATTACGCCAGTTACGGGAAACTACGCTCCCACAGAATTGCAGTAGATCATAGTCGTGTTGCAATTTTGCAATGAAGTCAAATCCACGGCTCATTTCGAAGCGAGCCAACCCAATTTTATTCATAAGTTATGCGGTCGTCGAACCGCGTTGTATTACCCTTGCATACCTGCCAGCTGGGCTGGTTAGCCGGCTTGGCCGTGTAGTCATACTGTTTCTTAGCAGTGGAAAACTTGGAACAGAACGACTGCAAGTTGCCCAGCAATGTCTCACGCAATTTGGGTACGCGCTGACTGGCATACGCATCCCTGCACCATTTCCTGTCGAAACGTGCCACCCCGAGTCGCTCCGACCCGTGATTGCCGAGGTATCGGCCCGGGAGGGCAGGCAGAGGCCGCGTACGACTGTTGATCGCCACCTTGGCCCACCGGCTGGAAAACAATCCGACGACGGCGGCCTATCACGGGCACACGGGCGCCGCCAGCCATGTTTTTTGAAACTCTTCAGTTACATCCGGAAGATCGAACAGCACCTTTGCATCGTGGCGTAAAAAGTCATGGTGCAACCATTACCCTAAATAAATTTGCAAGCGAAATATTGCACGGAACGGTATACAAAAGGGTAGTAAAGAGTGGGAACGAATCGATGAACACGCTGGTGCAGTTTTGTGCATAAAATGCTCACCATTTTTACTGCAGGGTTTTGTATTCGGCGGTATTTCTCGAAATCCAAATATTCGTTAATTTTTCGATAGTGTGCGACGCAACCGCACATCGCACAACCTCGCGATGCGCCCTAAAATTTTAGCTGGTACATTTTATAATGCTTTGAAACACAGTTTACGATTCTGCCTGCCTTTGGCGCCTAGATGCGACCCAAAACGTCAAAAGCAGAAAATTTCATCTGCCAGCTCAAGTGCACGTGTCACGTGCCATGTGCCAATACAAACTTGCCAATACCCGACTCCGCATCCGATTCCTTGTGAAGCCGTGCAAATGTCGTATGACTCCGACCTCTCGTTGCCGAGCTGTGGCCACGGTTTCCAGCGGCTGTCCGGCCGTTTCCCGCGGGTCACATTTCCAGACTTTCCCATGCAAACCCAACGGGCTCAAAAACGGCACACCTCACGCGAATAGCTTAGGCAGACATGAGCATGAGGTAGACAAGCCGTGAGCTACGCCGAACCCTCTCGAGCAGCTCAATGTACATATTCGCAGGCAATCAACGCTCGTCGGCGACACTGGCCAAACACATCCCTTCCCAGAGAAAGCAGCTGCAGCCGCCGCACCCACCAGCGGCATTGCGTCAGACTCAGCCCAGTCCGCATCGGTCCGGTTTAAAGGATGATTGGTCGGAGGCCTAAATGTAAGAGCCTTGATGTCGCTCCGGTCAGGAAAGCTAGACCCGCCAAAACGCTGGGGTGATATAGTTCCCGAGAAGAGCAAAATCTCCGGATTCCGAGCAAGTATACCCTTTGAGAGACGTTCGACTGAAATAACCGTTCAGTTGGGGGGGGGGGGGGGGGGCATCTTTAGTCTGGCCTTGAACTACAGAGGGCGGATCCCGTAACCGGTCTGAAATGGCCACACGGTCTGGCATAGTCACCCGCACCGGCTTATGTCTCCATGCGGTCGAGGTTCGTGGTTATCAATGTTACACACGTCACGCAACATCGCTCCTTCGGGAACGTGGCGCTGCGAGACTTACCACTTCAGCTCCGGCGTGGGTTGGGGATGGACGGACGTATGCTACGCGCGATCAGCTACGTGGCCAAAGACAGAAGCGCATGTTGATGGGAACACATTTAGGCTTGCGTGTGTGTGTGTGTGTGTGTGTGTGTGTGTGTGTGTGTGTGTGTGTGTGTGTGTGTGTGTGTGTGTGTGTGTGTGTGTGTGTGTGTGTGTGTGTGTGTGTGTGTGCGTGTGTGTGTGTGTGTGTTTCAAGACCTAGTCCGAACCTGTTGATTGAACAGCTCTCCGGGGTCTGAGCCCACGCTTATCAGCACTTTTGAGTACACCCTGATCCCGCCATCCGATCGTAAGATTCCGGGTAATCGGCGGGGTTTTGTGACATTAAACGTGCACAGTAATACTCGGCACGATCCGACGTACCTCTGATGTCACCGGAACTTTTGTGCGGCCGCTGCCACCGGTCAAGGTCAGGTAGGTCTGGGGCAAATGGCGAACGCTTAAAGCGACTCGAGCCAACCCCGTCACAGGAGCCTAAATCAGAGCACATGTTCTCTAACCGGCTTGTGGAAATTTCATACAATCGGTACAAAAGAAAACGCTCTCAAGCAAACCAGCTATAACCGGTTTGGAAACATGCATGTACGTGGCACATTGCTAGGTCTCAGTGAAAGCAAGGGGGAAAATATAATTTATTTTTCAACGATCACAATTGGCGCAAATATACAGCGCAAAGGTGATTTCCACATAGACCAAATGATATAACCTCGCTGCTCTCCTTGTCACATGTGTAACACATTTGAAAGGTAACGTTGAGCTCACTTTCAGGAATATGATTCAGCGATAGACCCAACTGCGAAAACAGCAGCTTCAACAACCGCAGTGTCTCATTCCCGCCAGCCTCGTCTGAAGTTTGAAAGCAAGAAACCCCACCGCTGGCCACCGAGACACTTTGTTCACTCCGAGTGGGCCGCCATCTCACGAAGGTCATCACGTCTCCGCTCATCACACCGTTCCGGCGCTGCTAGCGAGCGGAAGCGGAAGGCGTCCGGCGTTCTACTTATAACGACGGCTCCCGTCCAGCTCCAGTTCGGTTCTGTCAGGTTATTATCGCTTTCCGCCCGCTTTCTACCCATCTTCTGTTCGGCGCCCGCCTGCCTCCTGTCCGGCTCTTGTCCGGCTCCTACCCGGCTACTGCCCGACTCCTGCCCGGCTCCTGCGCGAGTCCTACGCGAATCCCGCCCGGATCCTGTCCGGCTCCAGCCCGGCACCCGGCGCCACCATGTATGGCCTGTTGCTGGAGAATCTAGCCGAGTTCATCAAGGTCGGCTACGGCGAGGACCAGTGGGAGGCGATCCGGCGCGAGGCCATGGTGGACATGCCGTCCTTCTCCACCCACCAGGTGTACCCGGAAGGTCTGCTGCCCCGGCTGGCCAAGGTCGCCTGCAAGGTGAGTCACTAAGGGTCCCGTCCTGGCAATGACGTGTCGGAGAAGCTGGCGTGGAATGATGCTGCTCTCATCTCCGGCAAAGCGGCTTATATCATGTTACGTCACAATTGCTGGTTACGTCACCATTGTTGGTTACGTCACGATTGTAACAGGTGTAACAAGACACTCAATGGTGCCAAGAATTGGTTGGTGTGGTAAACAGCGTAAGATCATATTTACCACGGCATATTTTCGGCACGAACGTTTCTAATCTTCACCCGGAGTAAAATACGCCATAGCAAGGCAATCTGCGCTGCTCGAAGCAATTCAGCAACCCATAATCGTAAGATTTCCTTTGCAACGTGCTAGCCCTTATTGCTTTCACTGATACGCTTCCGCGATGGAGGCTGATGACCGGCTTATGGTGGCTTACGAATCAAATCCCCAGTGTTGCCAGGTGCGCGCCATCTTACGCCGGCAGAGTTTACACAATGTCACGGACGGATACTGTGAGAAGTTTCCCTACGCTGGCAGCAGAACTTTAACTATTAGGTGTCTAAGTCTTCGATCCGAGTACAAATTCCTGTAAGTGTAGGTTGCATTTTGAGTAAGTGATGAGCGCACGTCAGCGCCTGTCGTCACCATCCTCACCGGCAACGTTGGGGTGTCGGATCCATACTCGGAAAATTTAGCCGACTCGATGTTCCGGAAAACAGTTTGAAGCGTTCAGTAGGTTTTGACACGTAATCAAGCAGACTGTGTCAATAGATCTATCATGTAGCGATGAAAAGTTAGTCCGTAGGGCCTGAGAAGACACCACATCTTGGACCAGAAATCCCCTATCATTTTTGCTTCATTCATATACACGCTTTAAGCAAGGCGTTTTTGTTAATAATCTTTTCAAAGTATTCATGATGAGCCCATTTACGTTGTGTGGCATGCATAATGTACAATATGTGTTCAACACGTTTTTGCAAAGCTACCTGGCAAACCTGGCAAACCTGGCAAAACACACATTTGTGGCTGGTTGGGTAAACAGCCACAAAAATAAACAGCTGCAGAAATAAGCCGCGCGAAGTGAAATAAGCCCTCATTGTTCTCGTGACTGAATTACTCAAACTGTCCAAATGTCACCAAACAGCGGAAGTCGTTCGTTTCGTTTGGCACAATGCCAAACTTAGCCTGGGGAAATAACAAACACGAACATCAATCTTGGCAAGCATAAACTGCACTGGCGGCAAGCAATATGGCCCAAATATAACAAACGTCTGGTGCAAATGTCACTTATTATTTTTGATTGGCAATAACGGAACGTTTGGGTACCAGCCAGCATCTTGTTTTCTTCGAGTCATGGTAATGAAGACCCCGCGGGAAAGGTCACGCGCCAGAGTAGCGTCGGCTTGGCCTTGGTCCGTACGACGTCGAGGAAACTAGGTCCCCAATGGGATAATGGAAGGACCCTTCGTCAGTCATGGCCTCCAGTAGGGAAGAGGGGCCTCCATCCCATCTCAGCTAATGGCCCGTTCAGCCGAACTGAAGTCTCTGTGTCAATTCTTGGACCACCTGCAGAGATAATGAATCTTGTCGTGTCAATGAGGGCCCCATATACTGATCTAGGGCCAACCGCCCTGGACAGAGGGCCTTCCGCGTCAAGGAGGCCCCATATACTGATCTAGGGCCAACTGCCCTGGACAGAGGGCCTTCCGCGTCAGGGAGGCCCCGTATACTGATCTAGGGCCAACCGCCCTGGACAGAGGGCCTTCCGCGTCAAGGAGGCCCCATATACTGGTCTAGGGCCAACCGCCCTGGACAGAGGGCCTTCCGCGTCAAGGAGGCCCCGTATACTGATCTAGGGCCAACCGCCCTGGACAGAGGGCCTTCCGCGTCAAGGAGGGGACCAACGTATGATGCCGCCGTGCCGCCAGGATGGCAGCCAGTGGGCACTCCACGCTTGGACAGACTGGCCGTTCATCTCTTGGCCAGGAATGATAAAGTGCTCCCAGTGTTCTACCCATGGGGACCCTTTTCCGGAAAAAGTGAAGTGGTCTCATTAGTCTATAACAGAGTGGATCGAAATTAAGTCAAAAATGAAGAAGGGGCCCGCCCATGAACGTCCTGTTGCCGAATTGACTTGTGACTCAAACGGCGTAAGCAGCGCTGAGCCCGCGCACTAGCAATCTTAGGAGCAAAAACAGTTATGGCCAGAGTTGCATTGCCCGGACCACCACACGCCACTACCCGGCGGGCGTCTGGCGCGCGGAACGACCGTCGTGAAATAATGTTCCCAGAAGTCTCTCAGAATCGATTCGTACCGTTGGAAGGTCAGACTAGGGCGTATTTCTCATCTGCATAGTTTATGACGCCTTTGAACAGATTAAAAGCTACAGCAACACGAAAAATAGAGGATAGAGGATTTCCCTCATTATTTCAGTATCTATGCTAGATTCTGGCACCAGTTTACGGTGCTGTAGATGTTGATCCGTTTCCTTCATCAATCTAGACATTACACAGGTGACAAATACGCCAGGATTGCCTTTTAAGCGTACCAATTGTTGCCCCAAATGGTTCAAAGGCGATTCTTTCAGATGCGTCATCATTTTCGTCCGCCCACCGCCCAACGCCGAGTGTCAGACGTGGGACCTTTGGAAACAGCAACATCGGACGTCGGATTATTGTTTCTTAGACTCAGAGCGCGCATGTTCAATGCTATGTGGCATGACTTTTATGCATATAAATTCTGGCCTAAGGCTGAACATTCTCCAGCGAGCACGGGCTGGCCGCGTGAATGTAGGCCGCATTCCGATCTACAGTCAACGTTCACGTGGTCCTCAGTATACCTGTAAAATCCAAAAAAAATCCGACAAAGGCATAAGTGCTACCGATTTAGAAAAAAATCCACTCCACCATTGCCAAATGAATTGCACTGGTGGTTTATTTCACGCAATCATTTAACGCCCGCTTCCTCCATAACAATGTCTTCAAAATAAAAGCAGAATTGCATTTTCCGGAGACTCTACTGGCTTCTCTTCCAGTTAAAGAAAACGAAAATGGAAATGACACGAAAAAGTCGCATCCTTGAAATCAAGTGAGCTAAATCTAGTGATTTTTTTGGGGGGTAAGGCCTTATAAAATCGAGATGCCCTTAGACGGCGCTGTCCCCCCCCCCCCCTCCCCTGCCAAGGCTCTGGCTGCGCAACTGAATGTCAGTCATGAGCATTACACCACTGAAAGAGGAAATATTTTTTTGTGGCCTAGACCTTACTTGGCACTGCTGTGTGGGGAGACGGTTTATGGATGCTTCGTGAGCACTCTCCACCCTCTTCCAATTTTTTTTTCGAGAAACATTTCAGTTCAGTTTTCCATAAGCTCTTTGTACTCACTGCGCTGCCTTCTGAGCGTAAAAAACTGACGGCCCACTGCAGACGAAAACTTACCACATGTTTGCTGCTTTTTCGATCATGTGCATGAATCAGTACAGAATGGGATGGGTGGATTGGTGCAAAAGCAGAACTATTAAAGCTGAGCGCCTCTCCTAAAAGGCGACAGTCATCGCCGTCAGAGAACCCACGGCACACCGCCCACGCGTCCGGTCTGCAGGCTGAGATGGGCCAGGCGTCCGCCGCCGCTCCGGTTCACACATACAGCCGTCTCCAGCGGGCGATGGACCCCTGGCCCCGTTGACGCCATTCATTCGTGCTGAAAATTGCTTGATTGCAAAGATTGTAGAAAGGCTTGGAAATTTTTGCGCTACTAGCTGCCGAGTGTAATTTTGGAAACCGTTACCTCCCAGATAGATAATGGGTTGTTAGTTATAAGTTAAACCCACGCAAGTTTTTGGTGATGTGATCTGTTTTACGCAGCACCGACATGCTATTCTGATGACAGTGAGAATAAAGCAGTACATATATACATATAAATGAACGTTTTATGACGTCATGTAACCGTCGACTTGAGGTGATCCATCAGCCTCGTTTAAATGAGCAGTAAAGATAGTAATTTTACTCAATCAGTTCACTTTAAAAATCTTTCTTAGCGACAGCAAACGGCATATTTCAGTAATGGCTATTTCAACACCAATGACGCCATTATTATCCCTGTACATGCATTCGTTCTTGCCAGAGTGGCGCGGTGTGCCTCGAAGTGCGTCATTAGGCATTAAGCAAAGCCAGTCGCACATTTCAACTGGTCAAACCGAATGTTTGAACGATGGAAAAAGCAGTTTGTCTGGGTAAATACCCCAGCGAGGCATTTTCAGAGATGCTGCCAGCTTGTTGGCAGTTACCGCAGCCATTGTTGCTTTTACTCGTGTTTCGAGATAGTGAGCGCGATATCTAGAAGACCCGTGAGCGCGATGATGGTTGTCGAAGAGCGCAATCAAAGGATATCGGTGGTGTCCAGCCTCGGGGAATGCTTTGGGAATTCTGGAACCCTAAATATGTCCATAAAAAAGTTATTGATGTGTTTAGGTGTGACATGAGTTTGACTGATCACTTCCAGGTAATATATATATATATATATATATATATATATATATATATATGTATGTATATGCAAACGAAATATGCAAACGCATACTGCGAGCGTGCGTACAAAGTCGATATATCAAACGGTTACTGAGTTATGGCTCCTAAAAGTCAAAATGTCAAATAGGAAATATTTTGAAAGTTCTATTGATTTTGACGCTGTTGTGTATTCCCTTACGAGCCTCCATGAACTGAATATGTGTGATAGAACGTCTGGGTCTGTTGGTATAATGAGCTCAGAGTACGCTGCTGTCCGCCAGTATGCCGGTATTGCTGGCACATCTCGAAGTGTGGTATTTTGCATTCCTGGGTGATTTTGGACCGCCTGGTTATGTTCACCTGATAGTCTGACCGAACAGATTGCTTCTGATGACCTTGTGTGGTGTGAAGTGACACGTGTGCCTCCATTGAAACTTATATCTTTATGCTAACATCACCTATCCTGGATTTGACCATGCTCCGGAGATGGGGTTGGGCAAACCTGAAACAGATGGGTCA